AGATAAAGGGACAATGGATATGTTAAAAACGGCATTTATCCACGTAATGATCGGCAGCTAAGTGTAACGAACCCACTCTCTCGACACGTTTGAAGTGTTTTACGCAGTTTGCGATGCCGTTCTCGATGAGTCAGGTTCGACTGATGAAATGTTGTTCGCTTCTTTCGCTTTCACTTTTTTGGAATCGATTATTTTCTCAGTGTTCTCAAATTTCATTAATTCTTATTTGTTGGTAATTTAAAAAAATTTGTTATTATTAAAGTATATCATTAAAATTCAATACGCGCATATGCCTTCCATATGTACGAACTCAATTAAAATAACATCAAATCTTATCTTGCATGGTTTTTATTTTTGATAATGTAATTTACATCGTCACAGTTCAGAAGACGATCTATTTTGTATACTAGTTTAAAAATAAATGCTTCTCCGACCTATCCCATACATTATGTTGTAATATCTGAAAATAAAAAAGTTTACCAACATACTCTTTGAGTTATTTATTACCTGAAAAATACAAAAGTTCGTCTCATCGTTGAGATTTATTACAATTTCGATATTTTTTATTAGATAAATAATTATATAGTCATTAAGTAGAGAGAAACAATTATAAAGTCATTAAGTACGATGTCCATTTGGCTTTTATAGTTTTGACTTTTTATTAAGGACAGTGGCGGCTCATAGCGGAGTCTCAGGAACTAATATGACAGTAACGAATTACTTAGCTGAGTCTCAAACCAGTTGAGAGTAATGAAGCTTTTTGAAAACGATGGTAGATGGCGTCATTAGTCACATTTAATGCTCGAAATTTGGCTCACAATTTTGCTAGATGGCGCCAGAGAGCCCGTTAAGCTCATCGTTTGAACAAATAATATGGATTTACTTCCAGTTTTTTATATATTTTCAATTAGAAAAAAGACATTGAAATATATGAAATTGCGTAAATGCTTTACCGTTTTCTAAACTCAGGCTCAGCAGGATTTTTCGATCACACGTACCCACATATTCGTGCATTATGACTGTTGATAATCGAGCAAATACAGCAAAAATATTTCGAATATTATTTCTTTTGTTAGATATAATTTAGTTTTAATAACTGTCTTTTATTTTCCATATTGGCTAACTCAAGGTGACTTCCACCAAATTTAGATTATGCTAACCGGCGATTAATTTAGCCGAGTTATTAACATGGAAAAATAAACATAGTTTGTTGTTAAAAAGTGTAAGAAATTTTTTGTGTTCTTTCTTTATAACTCACGTTTAAAACTGTTATCTCAGAATAAAGTATTACTTGTTCCATTTTGCTAACACGCACAGTCTTAATTTCTTTTCATTGTTATTGTTATAGACGAAACAAAATTATATAACTAGAAATTACTGTTGACAATTCTGACGACTAATAATCCTTTAATTTAATTGGAGTTTAATGAGCCATTTTTAATCATTAATCAGAATTTAATGAAGAGTTAAGCAATAAGAGAATGGTAAATGAGCAAATTATGAGTTTTAAATATAGTTCGCTGTCAATATAAACAATAATAACAATAGAATTGGGTGAAAGTCACTCTATGACCGATTCCCCGAAATCATTAGCAATAAAAAACTAATCATCGATCACGCTCCGGCGGCCGTCGGAAGTTTATTGCAACGATTATCGGATCAAAGCACGGCGCAAACTCGAAAACACGGAGTCAGCATGGTCAAAGAGCCATTTCATACTGTTTATGTCAAGTGGGAAAAATTCGAAAGGAAATTCAAAGCCGATATTAAGAGTGATTTTCGTCAAATTCCGATTGAGCAAATCAACAATAGAAATTTGCTGTCGGTTGCTAACACAGATGGAAATTGTTAACTTTTCGATCAATGTTGAACAAGTTACAGCACTGGAAATTGGTGTGTCGGCAATTCTTATTGTTCGATCGATTAGCTTAATCGGAGTTTGGTGAAAGTTATCTTAAGGAACGAAACAGAGGTGTTGCGAACGATCGAAGGCTTCACGCGGTCTCGCGGAATATCGCAGAATATAGAGTTTTGCAACGCGCAGTTCGCTCGCTCGCTCGCTGCACAGAGGCATAGAAGGTGTATAGATATCAAGGTGGAGATATTCAGCGGGGTAGGCGTTCACGCTGCTACTGATAAATTTATTATTCGCGTCTATTTGCAACTGAATCAATAATCGATGCGTTAGGTACATCCGCGTTGTCGCGAAAACGTGACTCCGAGTCACTGCTTCACGTTGTTCCCCGTCAATTTTTACTTTCGCGTCGGACGGACGGACGGACGTTCCGAGTAATGCCGGTTATCCATAAGAGCCGTGGAAACTTCCGCCTGTAAAAGAACGGAGAGAAAAATAATGGAAGGCCTTGCTCTAACCTTTTCGATCTGTTAGTAAATTTAGCCGTGTATGCCGTTGCCAGCTGTCTCCGAACACAATGGAATATTATTCGAAACCCTCTCGCGCTTTGTCACTCGCGGATGTACACTCGGTTTCAAGGTGGTTCGAGTACTTTTTTCCTTGCAGTTCGTAGCCAGTGTTCAGGTGAGAGAACTTTCCTCCACGTAGAACAGAAAATCACGGAGACGTCAGATTGAGATGAGAAAGTGACTTGGTAAAAACTCACTTTCCGATCATTTTCTTTCATTATTTCGACGTCACATTTTTCCCACCTATTTTCCGGAAATTTTTCAAATTTACAAAACCTTCCATCGGACGGAGGTTTCTCCGCGTTTCAAAGTGCGTCGAAAGAAAAGTGTCGAAAAATCAATTCTAGAGTTTGTGTTCGCTGTTCACGTGAATGTCCGCTAATAAATTAAATAGCCATTATTTATCGTTGCGGATTGCAAGGCGATAGATAAATGGTGGCCGTACACGTATGTCCGACTTGCGACTTACGATTGCGATTGACACGACCAAGTGAGGTCAGCGCTTCCGCGACTGTCGTTTATATTCGTGCGATTATGCACCAGCGTATATATGTAGATTCAAACGGTGATGCGCGCGCACGATAGACTTAATTTCCGATCAGGCCGAAAGCCGGGTGAAACTCGAAGGAAAAAGCTCGCATCCCGGTGTGTAAACCGTGCGACGCTAATCGAGCTCAGAATTGGAATGGATGGTTTTAATTCTACTTCGATTCTCGTCCGCATAATTGTAATTTCAGTCTTTAAGATAGTCAATGTCGTAGAGTGCCGGATTTTCAGAGGAAATATTAAGGGGATTGTTATTATTGTTGTATAATATTGTTGTTGTTGTATAAAAAGTATCATCTTTAGTTGTTAATATCTCAGCTTCCGAAGTGGTTAATCGTTTTTTTAACTTTACGGACGTGTAAATAGAATTTAAAATTTGAAAGGATTTCTAAGAAAATCGTTTGACGGATCGACGATCTTAATGGGTTAATTTAAGTATCACTCGCGCGCCTGTGAAACGCCTTCTCATTGGCTGTTATTAAAAGCCTTGTTAATGATCATATAATTGTTATGTTACACGTTTTATATGTTACACATTATTGTCGGTTTTACACAGGAACAAGCGTATATTTGCTGGCCGCAGAACGACGTAAGAGATACATGTTTGTTGTCAACTGTATATTTCTTACGAGCGAGCAGTTGTCACCGATGTGAAGAAGGAAGGAAAAGGTTAAGAGATTCCAAAGGTGCCTGATATCCTCGCGAGGAAGCAGATAAATGCGGCTTCCGTTGCTCGCGGTAATCACGACAATCGCAAACGCAAAAAGTATAACGCGCTCGTGCTGCGAAAGAGGACGTCGGAGCAACGAGAACGAGTTCAACTGAATTCGGCTACCTATCAGTAATAAAATTATATACTCGCTGAATAAGTCAATTATATATATATATATATATATATGTATATATATCTAGCGAAACCTTACACTTATCCGAGAAATACGTCAACAGGGTTGAATTTATAGCGTTGCGCGAACCCCTTCTTTTTCCCCGAAGATCTCTTTTTTTTCTCCGAAAGTTCGTGGAAACGTCTGCTCTTCGTACCATTTATCTTGCATTTTATCTTATCGCATATCTATTACATTTTCATTTTGTTTCATTGTTGCGTTTTTACCGCCGATTTTTTCTTCCTGTCTTTTTGTGACACACACATCTCACTCTCTCTCTCTCTCTCTCTTTCTCTCTTTCCAAATAGTAGAAGAAGTTCCAAAATTATCCAAGTGTGTCCGGGATGTTTTATGACATCCTGAGCGCATCTAAGATGATCTAAGGACTTTTTGTGCTATCTCTGGCCAGTGCTGTCCCTTTTTCACGTGCAATTTTTCATCGCACGCGACACTTTGTCCTCACTCGAAGTTCTTTTCGCGGTGAACGGTCCAGGGCCATTTGAGAGGTGAACCTTCGAGCAAAACGACTTTCAGAGCCTGCAGTAATGTACTTTCACATTTGTGAGACCAAGGCATTGAATCGTTGGAAACTCGTTTCGTANGGGGAGTTAGGGTCGGGGGGGGGGAGAAGAGAAAGATAGGAAAGGAGAAAGAAAGAAAGAACGAGAAAGGCCGAATCGAGTTTTTCACGGTCGTACGTTAGGACGGATTTATATCCGGGAAATATATCGTCGAAAACGGAGCCGTCGATCGGCATAATTGTTTTTGGACTTTTAATTAAACTTTACAGTGAATTAGAACGAACGATAAGTCGGATTGAAAAACATAGGATATGAAACAATTCATACTAATCACGAGAAATTATATCATCTTTCTCGTTATCGAAAGTTTCAAATTGTTTTTGCAAACAATGCAGATGTGTTATCACTCGAATATACTTATATATAAAAGAAGTCAGATATCAATTTCAAGAGTCGTTGGGAATTGTATGTACGTGCCTCGTCAAGTTAACGTTGTATAAATTACGTCATTGCTTACAACATATATGAGACGATAACAGAACCTGAGGGTGCAGTGTAATTAAGACAAGATTAAAGTCATATAAGAGACATTTATCTTGGACGATTTGGCGTCAGGGATCATAAATTTATTTTTAATGTCACCAATATGTCATCATATTTGTTAGATAATAAATAAAAATAATGGTATATACGGTAACGGAAAATCACGATAACGTTAAAATATAAAGATATAAAATGACTGATATGACAGCTCACTTTTCGATCACTTTCTCGTCATTTTAATGTCATTAATATAATTTTGTGTTCTATCTGGACCTGTCATAAAAGACCTTTCTAGGAAACCTCCGTACGAGTTGTGTTCTAGGGAAAGCTTCCTCCGCGCGTTTTAAAATAAATACCATTCTCAACGATTCTACGACGCTGAGGCATATCGTCGTTCAGACGTGTTTTCCGACTCGTGCCCGACTATTTGCGTCGGGATTATCGCTACCGAGTTGTAAATTCGGCCGAGAACCATGCGTCGTCTGCCGACGGCCGACGACGTCGCGCCTAATTCAGGTAAATGATTCAAGCACCCGAACATTGCGCGCCGGCTGTTTCCCGTGAAGGATATCGACGCTCGAACAGGACACGAGCGGCGATCATCGTGATGACGAATCGCCGGAATAATTTTGAATGGTTACGTAGAATTGTTCGCTGCTGCAGCGGTGGAAGAAGCGCATAGCGGTGGTTCGCGCGGTTCTTGGAACAGCGGAGTTGAAAAGAACGCGCGCCCGTTATATATTTAGCTAAACACACACACACACACACACACTATCTGCGGTTCATCGAAGTCAAAGAGCGCCACGAGCGCATCTTTGACGGCGCGTTTTTTTATTATTTAAATAGCATCCTTTTTTCGCGTAGTTCGCAAATCGAATCTTGCTTAGTCGTGAAAGTGCTTCCGCCCGGGAGGACGCATGAGAGACCGACTCGTCCTTTTCCTCCCACCATTCTCACACAGGCGCGATTATAAATCGCCGGCTCGGCTTCACGTAGCGGCCCATTGTTTTTGTACTTTTTTTTTTTGGTGGAAAATCAGTCCGACGCGGTGTCGCGCGAAAGGAGAATGAGAAACCGACGAGCGACGGTGGAAACTGTTACGGTCGTGCTCCATATAGTTGACTGCTAACGTTACGAGAACGCAAGTCGTAACGTTAGTCGGCGACGGGCGAACTGTACATGCACGTGTATATACAGGGTGTCCCAGATTAACAGGAACAAACTTCGCGAGGGCGTAAAACGGATTGAGGTGAACAGAAAAAAGCTTGTAGGCATTTAAGACTCCCGTGTGCTCGCTGCTATTTTGTTTCATTTTGGTTTTGTTTTATCGTCAGAAACGAGAAAATTCATGTCCAAACATCTTACGTTTAAATAAAATATACATGTACATTTAAATAAAAGATATACCCATGAAATGAAATTTACGATTGGTTCAGGGACATGCAGGGACTAGGAGTCTTAAAGGATTCTTGAAATAATATTAACATCAGGCCTTGAAAAATCATCATCCGCCATTGTATATACACGAACCTGTGGAGAAACGTGACGAATTCTTTCAGGAATAATGTAATATTTTTCGGGGAAGAATTGATGGACCTTGCGGGAAGATGGGCAGAATTTTCGGGAGAGCGTGAAGAAACCCAAGGACAGGAAATATACGGAAATAACGACATCGAGATTGTTTTCAATCTTTTTTGTTCGAGTTGACGTAGAGTCGCTTGCGAAATAAAACGTTTTGTATAGCAAAATCTGGAAGATAGAAGACCTTTGCCGGTATTCATAGTTGGATCTTATATTTAAGATTGTTTATCTTCAGATGTTTTGTAGCCAATGAAATAACCTATAGAGTATCGAAAGATATACTTAAGACGATCTTAAATATAAGACTATGAATGTCGGCCCTTGTCATACAAATTTTTCTTTGCAGAAAATTCCATTCCGTAGGAACTATTTTTCGAGAAACTTTCTTCATATATACAAGAATGTCGAATAATTACGTTTAAGCCCTGATGATTAATATTCTCGGAAAAATCGAAGAGCTTTCGTCAACTGGAACTGAACAAATTTTGCATTTCAAACTTCAATCGACGGATCAAACTTGAAGTCATTTGTAAACGAAACATGAAGCATGAACATTCTATTTCGTCAAAAGCATGAACATTCTATTTCGTCAAAAGTTAATTCGTTAGTTCTATACTTTTAAAGATTTGGGAAATAGTTTTTTCCATTTTTCTGCAAATTTTCTTGCTTTCTTTGCGAGGAAAAATGGAAAGAAACTTGTTTTAAACTATAGTAATTTCTCGTTTCATTATTAACGAAGAACGTCCTTCTCCTTGTTCTCCGTTTGCTCACGTGGCGAATTTTTCGCAAGGAAAGCCGCGTGTCTCCCCACGATCGGGAGCAACGAAAGGCGAAGCGACACGAACCGTGCCAGTCGCCGCATACGTCGTGGATGAACGAAAAGGAAACGAACGAGAGGAGAGTGTACCGGGCGACGAGAGAAACGTCTCGAAATATCGCATGTCGTGCATTTTTCGATCGGACAATTCGAACGCGGTGTCGCGAGACAAGCGCGTCCTTTACAAAATGATCAACTTCCCCGCGACGCGTCGTCGCGATTGTGATTCACCGCGGTGAAATCGAGGCCAGGGCGTCAAAGGCACCCGCTGTATCGCCCGGCACTGCGGTCGGCGCGGCGGAAACGGCCGAGCGCTCCACACTACACGCCGATCTCGGCCGAGCGGAGTTCCGATCAGCTCCGATCGCGGCGGAGCGCGTTAGTAGCGATTCGGCGGCAGCAGTGAGAGCAGTGCGGCATCGCACCGATAACGCAAGAAGGAGGTGGCGCGGAGGTGGTGACGACGACGAAGGAGAAGAGACGACGAGAGAAGTGAAGTGAAAGAGAGTAGGGCAGAGAGACGAGAAAGTGCGATCGCTGTTGCTCGCGACGGTCCTGACGAAGCTGCTGCCGTTTCGGGAGGCGGCTGGCCGACATCCACGAGTATCGAGACGTCGCACGCATGCGAGGCTCGCCGTTGCGTGGAACATGTACATGACGAAGGTGGCCGACGGTAGTGCGAAAAAGTGGCGAAAATTGTGAGAACAGTGGTGGTGGCGGCGGTGGTGGTTGTTCGGTGTCGCCGTCGGTGGCGATAATAGTGGTCGCGATAACGACTGCGGCGGCATCAGCATCGGTGGCGACGGCGACGGCAGCGGTGGCGGCAGCGGTGCGGGTAGCTACGACGGTGACGGTGAGGCGGTGGTGGTGCTCCGATGGTACTCCGGTGTGCGCGCGTGCGGTGCTAGGAAAGAGTGTCGCGCGCGTGCTTTACCACTGGTGGCGGAGGTGGTGGTGTGTGCACGTGTTAGAACGACACGCACTCGGTTGGCGAGGTCGTGTTTCGTCATCCTCGCCGTCGTCGCCGCCGTCGTCGTCCTGGTGCCCGCGGTCTCCTCACTCCGTCCCACTACCGCGCGCCGTCATCGGCGGAACGGTCGTCGTCTCATACGCTCGTGACGAGTCGCTCCGGCGGCAGCGGCAACTTCTCCCCCCTCTACGGCGCGCCGTCGCCGTCGTCGTCGACGCTTCTCTCAGTCGCTCTCGCCGGGGGCCACCGCACCGAAGGCGTTTGTGCGACGAGCCAGGGCCAGCTCTGCTACGCAAGATGGCTGTGTGTCGCTGACGAGAGGCCGACATAGCGGACGGAGGTACGGACGGACTGTGGATAAGCGGAACATGCGGCTACGTGATCGTCGGGCCCGTCCCTGAAGAGAGAGACACTGGCCAAGAAGTGAGAGGTGAGTGAATTTCTCTGCCTACGTACGCGCCGCGTCTCTGCCCTCCTCTCTCTCTTTCTCTGTCTCTTTCCCGCAACAGCGGATTTTTCGGTCATCCGTCTCTCCTTGTCGCCCTCTCTCTCTGTCTTTCTCTCGCGGACGACGAGACGACCGCTCGTCCGTTCGCTCTCACGGCAGAAACGTTCTCGGAAATATGTCCCAGCCTTCTCCTTGACGGCGACTATGTCGACGGGGTATAGCTCGACCTCGACGTGACAGGCCGACGGAAGAGAGGTATTCCGACGGGTCGGTTCGGTGTACGCGCGTTGACGCGTGTATGTACTGACGTAGGTACGTCCGTGCATGCGTGCGTGTCTTCTCGCCGCCGCAGCGAGCGAGCGAGCCATACGTGGACTCTACCAGCTTTGGAACAGCGCGTATATACACACATACACGTATGCCCGGCGGGCCGTGCACATCGGGCGTACGAAAAGTATAAAAGCCAGCCGAAAGTTTCTTCTCCCCCTCGTCCTCTGTGGATACGCTCTCCTCGACGGCACGTCCGCGCGTTTACTCTACCAACTTTGCAGACAACCTATTTGACTAATTTCTCTCTGTCTCTCTCTTCCTCTTCCGTCTGTCTCTCTGTCGCACGAACACACACACACACCCATTTCATCTCTGTCGTATGCGTGCGGATATACTTGTCTTTCGTCTCCTTCTAGCCGAAAATCCCCACTTGTCGTTGGGTATCTTCCACGACGACGTGGGATTACACCGCGTGCTCATCCTTCGCGACAACTTTTCGCATATCGATAACGACCTGTCTCTTCTTTCTCCACCTCCCTCCCCCGTATATCTGTCTGTCTTTGTCTTACCGTCTCTGTGGTCTCTGTCTCGGTTTACGTCTGTTGTTTGCTATCTGCTACTTCTCTCCATCTTTTTCGTACTTGCATCTTACTCGCTTTCTCTCTCTCTCTCTCTTTCTGTTCAGACGAGCGGTAACGCGCCTGGCCGTCTATCAGTGTCCACACTTTTTCGGTCGACGCTTTCCCTCGTGCCAGGCTCCACGGCTGTGAATGGCTCTCTCTCTCTCTCTCACACACGCGTTCTGTACACCACCGGAGTCGCGAAACACGAAACCGATCCCCCGGCAACATCTGTCGCGCGACCGTCCCCGGCCGACCTAACCTTCAAAATTGCGGGGGTGCCGTCGTCGTCATTGCGGTACGCGCGCGAGCGACGCCCCGGCATTCCCCGACGCGTCGACGTGCGTCTTATTTTTGTATCTCGTCCGCAAGCAATCCGATCCGGCCGGACGAACCGCATTCTACAGTCGTGCGCTCTTTTTCGTACGGCGCGGCCGTTATGTTTTATCTGGAACGGAGGTGAACAGCTGTATGCGAGCGACTCGCCGACACACGCCCGTGTACCCAGCCAATGCATGTTGTAACTTCGAAAAATGCGAAACTTGTCCTCGATCTTTTCCGTCGTTGCACCTTGAAGCTCGGGTGGGTCGTGGACTTGGGGGCCCGTTCCTCTTACCTGCGCACGTCCTTTTTTCCCACCGCTTTCCGTGCTCGAGAGCGAATAAAGAGAACGCAGTCAGAGAGAAGAGAGAGAGAGAGAGAGAGAAAATGGCACTGCGAACGAAACGCGTGACTTTAGCGGGATGACATGTGGGTTTGATAGGATCTCGATGCGATCGGCGCGACATAACCTAGAAATCGCGTGCTGCGTTCGTGGAACGGTGAAGACGTTCCTAGACGCCGAGCAGGCGGACGTACATCTACATCGGGGAAGCTGGTGTCGGTATCATGAGTTATTCACGTTTCTTTTACCCTTCCCTTATCTATTTTCTCCACTTCTCGNTTTTCCCCTTCCCTTATCTATTTTCTCCCCTTCTCGCCCCCCCCCCCTCCTCTTCTGTTGTATTATTCGATACGAAGAGCGGCGTGTACACTTACTGGCGTGATCACGGAAGTGATTTTGCATTTGTAGCCATCGTCTTCTTTCGACGCGAGCACGTACTCCTCGTAATATTACGTTATTTTACGTGCTCGTCGAGCCGTGTACGAGCCGTTAAACAATCCTGCACGAACAATCGCTACGTCGAATTCTGTATTTAACGCGGTTGCATTCGATGTCCTCACTCACGGTAATCGGATCATCAATCTGTCATGAAATATCCATTTCTCCGCTTAATTATCCCCTCTGGCGAGTCGAGATTATGTTCTGATGCGACGAACCTATCGAGAATCCACCTATGACGACAGATACGACGGATTCAGGCCTGCTTTTACCTGCCTGAGACCTGCATTGGAATTTCGTCCCTTTTCCCATCGAAGGCAAAAAGTGTAAATCAGCTGAAAAGAATACAGAGAATACTTTTCGAGAATCGTTATACGTTAGACGTTTGTCGCTAACTCTTGCGGAAATTTTCCATAAATTTCTTTACTTTTACTTCAATATCTATTATCGACGCCCCGCGTTGTCGGTTACGCATATTGTGGAATTTCCCATGGTAGAAACGGCCCTTTCAAAGTTTTTGCCACGATTTTTTTTAACAACAGCTTTGTGCGTGAACAGTGCGCCCGAGATAAGCAACTGACAGGCCATTGGCCATAGGGTCATTAATCCCCAATGTCGAAGGCGGTACTTAGGTTTTAGCCCCAAGTACCCATGCAGCGAAAACTTAAACAGGCCGGCTAGGTTCGTGCAGTGTCAGTTCCGCGTAGAACTTTGACGGAGTGAGATCAACAGTCGTCGGGAGAACACGGATACTACCACACTTCCCTTAGGTAAGAAAGACAACGTAAGCCGCGTCTCTTCGTCGTCTCTTCCTCCGCGATGTTCCGCCTCGGTCTACGCTCTCGGCCTCTCCGCGAATCATTATTACCGCGCGGGGTTTCCTCAACTTCCTGTCCGCGATGGTCCGTGTCGCGTTCGCTCGAAACGAAATCTTCAGCGCGGTAAATATACACATCGAGTGTCTCTCTCTCTCCTCCCGTCGCGGAGAGGAGGCGGCTTCGAACGAACGAACGCCCGTCCCGCTGTCATTGTAAGAAGTTTGATCGATATATACATATCGTCCGGTGGCCGTTCGGTCGCGCTTCGCTGGTCCCTCTTATGGTCGGGGTGATAGATATTTTACTCGTCGCGGATTCTCACGGCTGTCAGACGAAGAACTCGCACAGCCCCCGGAGGAAAAGGCTTCGCCGCGGTCTTCGCGTACTTTTCCGTACGGCCGGCGAATAGAAAGCTTGATTCCCGTCTCGCGAGGAAATCGCGCGTTATTCATCGCTCATCCACCGATCTCTTTCTTTCTCACTGAAAAATAAGTTTAGTCGGATCTACCTAACAATGAACAACTAAATGCGTTTTGGTTGAAGGGAACAAAGGGTTCTGGTTATAAGAAAATTTGGTTTATAATAACTGGAAATTTTGTTTCCTTCGATCGAAACGCGTTTGGTTTTCCATTGTCAGATATATCCAGCCGAACTCATCTTTCAGTGCTTTCTCTCTCTCTCTCTAACTTTCTAATATCGATAATAAACATGTTTTTCTCTTTCTCTCTTATTCTTATCTTGTATCTTGTATCTAAAATTGTATTTGAGGGGAAGTTTTTCCCAGAGCTTATAATAAATTCCTTTCTCTTTCTTTTTCTCTCTCTCTTTTTTCTCTCTTTCTTCTTTTTATAATAAATTCCTTTCTCTTTCTTTTTCTCTCTCGACGAGAAATGAAGGATGTTTTTGTGTCGCGTAAACCCTCGGTCGATTCTCTGCTCGAGTAGGTAGCCCAAGTGTTTTTGACTGGGCCAACATTATAAGAACGCGCACGCATCCATTGTGTGCTTTCATTGTATGTTAATTCGTGTAACGCGATTGCTTAATCCGCTATCATCGTCGTCTTCGTCGGCGTCGACATCGACACTTGCTTCCGCGAAAACTGCGCGCGTGTTTTGCCCGTACGAAATACCTTGCGTAATAATAACGAGCGGACGATTTATTCCGCGTGGCCGCACGTTTATTTGCGCAAGGGTGGGTTTACGTAAAAATTATAATTAGACCTCGCGGACGATATATCATCGAATCCGCCGGTGGTGAAGTTCCGTCGACGTGCGAGCGAGCGAGTGGCCGCGAGAGACGCCGAGGAGGAGGGGAGGAGAATGCATGGGCGCGTTGCGCGAACCCTTTTCTTCCGTTTGCATTTATTTCTAATTATATTTCTTTTATATTTAGTTGCAATCGAAACGTCCATTTTCGAGAGATCGTTCGTCGATAAAAGTAACAATGAAAACGTGCTGTGTAGCGCGCGAGGTCTGCGAGGAGAAACCGACTGCGAAATCCTTCACTGGGAGATATCCCGCTGAAAGTATAGTCATTTTCAGTTTCAACTATATCTTTTTCTGGTTTTAATCCCCCCCCCCCTCCCCCCAAAAACGGTGGTTAGCAATATGCATGTAAGCTGTACTGAGGGAAAACATATCTGATAAATACTCGTTTACTTACACCAATATACATATTTTTACACCGAGATAAAATTTGTTTTAAACGATAGAATATATGCACTTTCTTAAATCTTCCATAGCTCTTCATGAAAACAACCGTTAATATTCTCTAGTTGAATAAAAGATTTAGATTTGAATACTCACCGGATAAATATTTTTCTCATCTTTCATGTATTTTTTCTCTCAGTGTAATTATCACTGACGCTGTAGTAACACTTGTACTACAAAAATGCTTGTCCTGACTAAATAATCCCTTCACTTGTGCGATTATAGTTGGTCACAAATACGAAAAGAATTTCGTCTTGGTGTCCGAAGACACACATTCGGCGGAAGATTTTACTGGCGCTTCATGCGCGTCTCTCGCGCGCGCGACACAGTTAAAGCGCATCTTCCTTGCGACACGTGACGCCGATTGTTCACCCGAATTCCGCCGTTATTTGGCCGCCACGCGATTCGCGATGAAAGTTGGCCGTTTGGGCGGCGAGTAAGCTCGGATTTCACCGTTCATCAATCGATCGGCTTGACTCATCGGGCGGAATATAAAGCGCGCGCGATGCATACCTACGTACTCTCTCGCGCACGAACGTATACCGGGGATCGCATGTGTACGTGTATAAGAGTGTATATATATATATATATATATATATCCGCGTATATATATATCATATACGCGGATTATGATATATATATATATCATAATCCGCGTATATATATATATATATATATATACGCGGATTATGAGGAGCGTGTACAATTGCTAGAGGGTGACGCAGAGTTTTATTATTTCGTTTTCGGAGTTCACGTGACTCACCCGCGTTCACGGTGACTCGACGGATTACTCCAAAACGATCAGCGAACGAGTAATGCCAGAATCCGCCGTATAATGTCAGCAAGTTCCGCGAAAGTCGCCCGCCGATGATACCCGCGGTGTCGGCGAAGCGGAGCGAATCGCCGACTTATTGCGCGGAAAAAAACGCTGTTGTATCCAAGAATTAGTCTGGACAGCGCCGTAATTGTACGGTAAATCTCGATTCGATAGCCTGCGGAAAAGAAAGTTCGGTTGAATTTGCCGGACGACGAGCAAACTAAACGCGTTTTCGTCGGAAGAGGCGGAATTTCTGGTTGTGAGAACCCAAGTTAGGCCCGTAAGAATCGGAAAGTTCAATCGTGTCGCCGCACCGAAAGGAAAGTTTGGTTGAGTTTACATAATAATAATTTAACTAAACGCATTTTGCTGGAAAGAAACAGAATTTCTGGCTGTGAGAGCCGAATTTGGCTCGCAAGAGCCAGAAATCCCTTCTCCCTCTAACCAAATCGCGCTTTGACTTGTTTATCGTCGGTTGAACTCGACCAAACTATTTCCCGCGCTACATCGCTAAGAAACCGATACATCGTCATCATATGTTGCCTTAATAATCACTCGGGCATTGCTTACAACAACATCGCTGTTGAATCAAGAAGACTTGCTTCAATTATACGCCGCCGGCCGCGATTCTATCGCGATATAACAGCGGCGTTATTTTTTCCGCGCGCTTGCCCGCAAATTTTCCTCGTTCGCCTCCGCGGAATTTCTCCGTGCGCACATCGCGCAAAAGTGTGCGCTCGCCCATATATATATATATATACCGCCGAAATTCTTATCGGCGCTCGGAAGTTAATGTCTTTTACGACCGGCCGCCGCCTCCTCCTCCACCCGGGGCGAGTGCGCGCGAGCGAACGAGGCTCTCGAAAGCGGCGAATGTTACGGTTACGGCAGTGCCGTACGAACGCGCTGGGATGCCGCGAGGGAACCAGCCGTTGCATCGTGCGCGCACCGGTTTTTAGAATTCGAACGGGCGGCGATTCGGTTAACTCGAACGTAACTGTATCTCGTGGTGCTGTAGATTGTTCGTAACGTCGACCGCGACTGTTTCAGACTGCCAGCACTATAATTAGAGCGTATCGCGCACGCGAACAAACGACGGCGAAAAACGCAAAAAATTCTCTCTCTCTCTCTCTCTTTATATATATATATATATATATATATATATATATATCTTTCTTTTCTTCCGTTTCCCTTATTTCAGTTCATAGGGCGGGCAGCGGAGGGTGCGGGATTGAAATCGCGCGTTTCCGAGACACTCCGGAGGTAGGGATCGATCGGATGTTTTCGCTCGCCCCGGTATCATTCGGCCGGTGTATGAGTCACAAATGCAGCGCGCAATACTGCGCGTATCTAAGCACGATCGGAGGGGATTATGTGAATTTACGGGATGCGCCGATAGAGCTCGCGAAGAGGATCGGCAAATCCCCTCGTCTGCGGCGGAAAACCGCGCGGGAGGAGGAGGAGTTGTGGCGGTGGTTGGGTAGCTGGTTCGCGAATTTTTGTTACAAGAATTTCTCACGATTTTTCGCGCAGAGACGAGACGACGTGACTCTCTCTCTCTCTCGGACTCGGTTATTTGCGGGCAGAAATACGATATTCAAGGATGGCTCTTTGAAAAGCACTGACCCAAAGCGACGCGGAGCCTTACATGGTCTCTCGCGTGTCCACGATGAGGACTGAAATATTCACGGCCGTTGGCGTTACAGACTTTTTTGTTGACTCTCTGCGCACTGTTTTCCCGCTGTGGTAGCTCACACATTGATCTTTGGTGTCTTTGGAATGCTGAGAGAAGGTGGTGTCACACACACACTCTCTCTCTCTCTCTCTCTCTCTCTCTCTCTTTCTACATCCGATTGATAATAGTGGTTGTTGTGTAGCAGCGATGCGTCAGTCTCGTCGTCTCGATGGCGATTTTCTTTTCATCATTTTCTCTCTCTTTCTTTTACCACCTTCCGTCTCTCGTATCTCTCGCCTTCTCGCTTCTTTTCTTTCCCGCCCCCCCCCCCCCNCTTCTTTTCTTTCCCGCCCCCCCCCCCCGTTATTTTTCTGTTCGACATCGTCGTGTAGAGAGCGCCAATGTGGCTAATAAGGTTTCGTCCCGATTGCAGGGAATGTGTGACATGTTCATCCAAACACAGCAGACGAGTAGCGTCAACGGCAGCAGCAGCAGCAGTAGCAGCAGCAGCAGCAGTAACAACACCGTTCACCATCACAGCAAAAAACGCAAGTTGGAGTACAACGTGAGCCAGCCGGTGATCCAGCACGCATTGGTCCAATCGACCGGCGACTACCAATTGGACAATACCGGTCTGCAGCAACGGTACTCCGTGAACGGTGTTAATACCGCGTTTAGCTCGCTGCACAACAATAATGCGCTGCAGAAGAGTAGCCCGAACCAGCAGACCCTGGTACGAGCTTCGACGATCAAGCTCTTAGACACGTACCAGCGCTGTGGCCAGAAGGTTGGTTGCCACTACCTGCGCTCTCTTCCACTACCGCACACGACAGAACAGGGAAATGCGTTGATCGCACGGTTGCCGCGCTTTTCAATCGCGCACGGGAAAGCTCTCTAGGTCCATTCTTCTTCCTGCGTCTCTCTCTTTCTCCCCCCTCTCTCTCTCTCTCACTCACTCACTCACTCACTCACTCACTCACTCCCTCACACGTATATTCTCACCTTTTCAATTTCTACGTCTCTTTTTGTGTGTCAGTGCGCCGCTACGCACGCTGCTAAACTTGGTTCCTCCAATCCTGACTTTATGTTTGCCTGATACGAAGATTGCGTTTATAATGTCGTTGAGAATCGCGAGAATAGCACGACAATAGGTATTTNCCCCCCCCCCCCCTCCCCTCTCTTTCTTTCTCTCTTATTCACTCACTCATTCACTCACTCACATACACACATATTCTCACTTCTATATCTATCTCTGGGCGAGACTGCTATCGAAGGATAACTCTTGAATTCTAAATTGGAGATTCGCGTTGACTTGCTTTCGAACGTAATCGCTATACTTGTCCTAGGATCCTGGAACGTTAACGCGCCTTTCGTCGCTCCCGTTCATCGGCTATCGATGCGGCTAAATTTAACGCTAAACGCGCGAATGCCGGCTCTTGTTTGTTTTCTTCCTACGGTATCGCCCGCAATTTGCGCAATGGGCAAACAATCCGGTGATCGGTCTCAATGTCATTTGTTTACCAGTCTTGAATTTCACACACACACACACACACATAGTCACACACATACGCACACACGTACGTACGATAGTTTGGCAGTTATTTCGCTATCGCTCGTTTTTGCTACGCTCGAATCACTCGTACACGTGCAGAGATGCGTACACGCGGCTAATTACGAAAGAGCACGAATAAATATACGACTGTGTCCGGCAGTTACGCTTCTCCACTTTTCTTCGTGACTTAATGTTAAACAGGCAGGAAGAACTTTCTTTTCGCGCGGCCTCTTGTACGTATCGACGTACAGCTTCGGACGAATAAAACCCGCAACGAGCGAGAAAACTAGCTCGCTTGTTCGGCATAAGTTAGTTCACTCGAGATCGAGACTACGACGTTTGGCAACGAGTCGTGATGCATCTCGCTTCGCATCTAATAACGCCTCTTGCTGCAAGCCGGTCGAAAGGGAAAGGCTGATCCGTGGATTGTAGCGAGACGATACGCGCCGCTGTTTATCCGCCTGTGTGTGTGTGTGTACTCGCGCTCTTCGCATTTACGTCTCTCGATCTCCCTCTGTTGCGAGTATATTTTGTTAACTTGTACTCTCGCACAACTGATTTTCTCGAAACAACGGATCGTCGGACGACGATTGTGCAGAAAGACTCCATTAATGCAGTCCCATTCTCTACGTATAAGTGACACCGAAAATCTCCAATCTGGCGCGTTATGTCCGAATATTCGTGCATTATGAGCGTGGATTATTGGGTGAATCGGCAAACGAGAGATGCTCCAGAACCAGCAGTCGTAACGGATGAATATTCTGATATACGTTGCGCGAAATCGAGAATTTCTGGTGTCACTGTATGCTTGGGGAATGAGACAGCATTAATGGAATTTCTGTATACGCTGCGTCATGTACGCCTTACCCATTGAGTTCTACAGTACCGAAGTGAGCCTTCCCCGTACTAAACTATAGAAATTTGCGTCGGAGAAAAGGGTAGACAAAGACGATTGGAGGGACATCTGTCTCTTTTATACATACTACTATCTGAGTGAGAAACATTAGAAATGTGATAAATCGAATCTCGGCATTTTTGAAGCTTGACAGTTCTATCTATCATCATTATTTACTTTATCATACTTTATTATAATTTGAATGAGAGGATTATATATGTTGCTTTATTAAAGAGAGCAATAATGTATAGTCCCGACAATGTCATAACTTTTCGTTATAATAAATATTAACTTGCATATAACCTCGCTTTCTCTACGAAAAGATTTCATATAAATTTCAGATCGAAAACTCATTCTTTGGGTCGAAACCATTATAATTAGAGCCGTTATAACGCCAAGCGTTGTAATCAGAGTTATTTATGCGATTTTTAACTTCATTCATGTGTAAGGTTAAAAATCGCGAACTCTTGATCTAAAGAATGATAAAACATATATAAGGCAGTATTTTGCACCGCAAAATTGCCGTTCTATTAACTCTTTAAGATTCCTATTTTCCCTGCCGCAGCCATCTTGAATGACGTTAAGAACGAGAAAACATATACATGCCCGACATTTTCGCGGAATGTGTTTAAACGAGAAAATATCCGTCCGTAAAACAACACTTACAATCAATTAAGCACATTCGTCGAATATTCCGACTTTTCTTTCGTTTTAATAATCAGTAAAAAACCGTAAAATTAATCGCGACATGCAAATAAGACGAGTATAGAGAGGGACCGGGAGTCTCAAACCGACAATTTTACTCGCAACATCGACAATTTTACCGCAACTATCGTAAGACACTGTCTTTTATCGCCAGCAGATACGTGTCAGGGAAGTTTTGACGTACTTTGGACTCGTTTACAATGTTGATAACCGATATTTGTAGTTACTGTTGCTAGTTGTTCGATCTCCAAAATATTCTATTTTCGAGTCGCGCTCGTCACACGGAAACGAGATGAGTCGCGCTGGTTAAAAGATTGATCGAAAACAAGACTAATTCCGATATCGCTGCTCACGACTCACTCGTAGACTTGTTTCTGGTATGCATGGCGTGAGCTCTCGTGTTTAACTGCGCTTAAGACACGATCCTGTCGTCGACACCTCGCCTAACAACAATCAACCTCGATGCGTTCGCGCACGATGTGCTTGTTCGCCTTTGGAGTTTCCAAACTCCTCATCTCCTCGCGTCGCTAACTCGGCGATTTGTGTTGATAAGTCGTCGCAGTTGCACGACGTATAAGTGTCCTCGGCTGATTCATCGCGCTCGCGATACCGATTGTCCCCCCATGAATTTTCTCCGTTCTCGCGCCAACGTGTATCCGTGATACACAAATTCGCCTCGCGAGGTTGCTGCCGCTCCTCGTTCGCTATGCACAGAGAAAAGGATTTTCTCGGATACTTAATATTTCTTTAATTGAAACAGATTTTTGTCCTTTAACATGGAGAAAACCAACGAGTATTCGATTCAGCAAAAACAGGATTTTTTAAATTTCTTAAGCATTAAATATTTCTACGTCAAATAACACATTTCTTTTGCGTTTCCATTCAAGCATTACAATGATTGTCACAAGCAATAAATAATTTAAAAGAAGTAACTATGTTAGAAAAATATTAAAAATCTTTGTTTTATGGAATAAAATTTAATATATAATGGAATGATTTTTTTTTTACTGGAAACGAAATATTCTTTCTTTTAAATAATACTGCTTTTTCCATCAAACAACGTGGTTTACTCCGGTGAAACATTTTCATTTAATTAAAATGAAATTTGACATTGAATTATGTTGTTAACATTAAACAAATCCAAGTCAAACACGTATGCTAAATCCAAAGAAACCCTTTTTTCTCTATATAGTGGGAGATTATTGCGGTGGAAATTATTGTAGGATTTGTAATCGAGGAAATTTTTCCTTAATTTATTATCTTTCCGTGTTTTCATATACTATTTATGTTTCAAGAACTGAGATTACGGTAGTGATTTATCCTTTTTAGAAATGCCGACACGTACATATACGTTTAGATGTTCCAATTATCCTTCTTTAATTTGAACATTGCCGACTAAATATGATAACAAACTGTGAAGGGACGTTTATTCACAAAATTCCACGGGAAAATGAGAAATCTCGTTACATAACCGACAGATGTCACATCACTGACACTCTAACGTTAAATCATGTTCTTCTGATTTTCATAAGTTCATCTCCGAAGAGGTTAAGAGCGAGTAGGTTTGGAAACAACCTCTAAAGGCATTCTAGAACGGGCACTCTTCTATATCTTCTCGCTGATAACTTGAGGTTATAACGCCTACCTCCAGATTGGCGACCACTTTTTCTCATTTTCGGAACATCGGCGAGTTCCATGCGGCCCTCGATGTTTTGCATCTTTCGCATACTAATGCTGGACATTGTCCTTTTTAGGAACTGAAGTCCACCGTTGACAAGTTCACTGTTTTCCGCAGCGAGATAGACTCTGAGCCGACACTCTCTGTTCCTGCGCTCCAAGAAAACACGGCCGGATCGCGAAGAATTTACACGAGGGAAAGCTATAACATTCTCTTCGTGTGATGTCCCGTTGCTGCTCCTGCAGCGATCGCGCGATCCGGTTCATCGTGCGAACACCCACTTCCTTATGCTCGCTGGCCGAAGTTCCGTATCGACGCATGTTCGACCGGCAAGCTGGCGTTCGCACTCTCTCACACGTAGCCGGTACGCGAGATCGAATCCTCCATTCGGCGTGTTTGCTCATAAAGATCGGGCAAAAAGTCGTCTATCCCACTGGGGATAATAACGTGGGGACGTTAACGACAAGATGATGCGTCGAGTCGCATCGACGCGCTCGTTAATTCCCCGATCCGACATCATCACAACGGCGCACACAGTGTCGTGGGAAAGAGCGCGCATCGCCGGGGGAGGTTAGTCCGGATCAACAATAGGTAGTGCATAGCAAGCCTTTGGCCTTTTGCTCTCCGAGCTAACTAAACTGTAACGCAATTTCCAGCGAAAAGCCTTTTTCCAGCGCTACCAGACGGTCGCGATTCCCAAGATTCAGCATTATAGTGACTTTTTCTAGCGGGAAACGCCTTTGCCTGGAATTACGGGCATTTATTATTTTATCGCTCACAGCAAAAGGCTGAAAGCTTGCCACACCTGTTAGGCCTGCTCGTTTTAGCTGAACCAGCGTTGCACTGGAACTCGGTTCCTTTTCCCTTCAACGCTAGATTATTACACACTAGTTTCGCTCTAAAAGCAAAAAGTGCCGCCTAGTTCGGTTAAAAAGAACAATCCTACTGTGGACCCGGATTTTATCCGAGTCCGACGTGCGTGTATTTATTTACACGTCGATCTGTCATGCGTGCGCAACTTGTCTGTTACCATCCGGAAGCGGGCGTATCGGCATCGGTTGATGAGCCAAGGAGCCTCCGGATAACCCGATTCCTCGAAGTCGTAAAGCTTCTCTTTCTCCCCGCCTACTCGCTCGCTCGCGTACTCTCTTTCTCTCTCTCTCTCTCTCTCTCTCTCTGTCTGTCTCTCTGTCTATCCTTCTTTGCCGAAAGAACCAGCTGGTTTATGAACGACACACCGAGTGCATGTACATTCGGCCGCGCGCCGGCGATCGTGTTTCGGTTATCCTCTGCCAACGCCGTCGTCGTCGTCGCACCGGAGTGTCACGCCGGCGAGGCGGCTAGTTCAGGCGACGTAGATAACGTTTCCGTGTGGCGTAGTTAACTATCGATTGCCTTCAAGGCTGAGATTACATATTTCATGCCGACCATCCTGCGGATGTGCGGGCGCGTTGGACACGAGCGCGTGCGTCTATTTACTTCGCGAAACTCGCGCGCGAATCGTACGGCTCCGATGACCGCGACGACGAGCCGGCGGATCGCCGCAGCGCGAACGAGAAAGCACGTTTCCTCGATCTCTCGCAACTGGCGAGCGAGCGAGCGGACGAGCGAGCAAACGAACGAACGAGCTTGATTTATGCAGCGATGTTGTATGGCGCGCGATATATAACGTTCGCTACATATAATGGAGGTATAATGGGGTACGCGCCCATTAATTAATCTTCTTCAACGGCGAACGAATGCGGATCACGAAGGCGAATGCGAGAGACCGAGGCGCTCTTTCGAAGCGTCGATGTCGATGCGGAAAATTCCTGTCTCCTGGGGTATCGTATAAGTACGCACACACGTACACACACACACACACACACACGAGCGCACGGGTGGCGCGCGCTATGCTTCGGGATTTGCTTTGTTGTGCCGGCTATATCGGGCCCCACCACGACTCTACATCACCGCTTACCTACGTCGTCGCTATCGCTGGTCGTTTCCCCCGTGCCCTTCCGAAAGAAAGAAAGCGAATGAAACTGCCCAAGCTAGAAAGCTCTACCGTACTCCTCCGTACACCGATGACTATCTCTTAACGTAAAAAAATTTTTGTATAAGGTGTATTCCTCCTACAGAGAAAAACTTGGTCGAGGGAGGGTAATGGTGACAGTCTGGCAGTCCACTCGGCCAACACGACGAATGCGGTGGGTAGTACTGTAGTGTCGCAGCACCATACCCAACAGCAACAACAGCAGCTGCAACAACAACAGCAGCAGCAGCAGCAACAGCACAAGCAGGCGGGCATGACGACGCACAGCAAGCAAGTGGCCAACGCGGCCAATGCGGGCGGTGGCAGCAATCCCCAGGGCGATGGGGATTATCATTTAGTACAGCACGAAGTCCTCTACTCTATGACCAATCAATACGAGGTCCTCGAGTTTCTCGGCAGGGGTACTTTCGGACAGGTGAGAATTTCTCTCTTTCTCTCTCTCTCTCTCTCTCTTTCTCTCTTCTCTCTTTCTTCTCGTGAGCAATATGTCGTGCAATAACGATCCGATAATGCGATCGATAAATTTCGATTTGTTTACAGGTCGTAAAATGTTGGAAAAAGGGTACGAATGAGATAGTGGCCATCAAAATTCTAAAGAACCATCCGTCGTATGCGCGCCAAGGTCAGATTGAGGTAAGTTTTTCCATGGGATAACCGACAGAGAGTACAATGTGTGTCTTATGGGCAGTGCGCGCGGAAGCTCTTTTGTCGCGACGAATCAAGGTTTGCTTTCTGTTCCTGAACTGGGACTGCACTAGAACTGAACTAGTGCGAGCCAGAACCGGCGTGTGTAAGCGTGCAGCAGCCAAGGAGTTAAGAACGCTCTAATGTAAGAATAACGTGGCGCGCGTTACAGTTGCAACTGTACAATTGGACGGTTACATGGACTTGTACATCTGAATGTTAAATGCTCTCTATTATAATATAAATATCATAAAGTCTTTTCAGTGTCTACGGAAGCTTTTGCTTTCGTTACTTACTGTTTAATTTTTGATAGCTATAGAATAAACGTCTAAAGAGTAACCTTTCATAGGAACGATGAAACGTAACTTTGACCTTTTAGCGTGTATTACTTTGCATGACTATGCGTATTGTGAACATCGGAGTGAAAGTACAATAATTTAATGATATAACGATATACAGGATGCTTGCTGTTTCGTGCACTCTTATTCGAAAGTGCTGTTCCAACTGTCCTTGCAACGCTTGCGCTAGGCATAGAGCAGCCGGTTCAGTGAACTCGTGCACTGAGCTGCGCTGCACTGGAGTAGAAGACACCTCAGTGCACATTTCTTGAACTAGTGTAGCCGGTACAGGAATATAAAAAAAAAACAAACCTTCAGTCACTCTCATTGTCCCCGCTTGTGTTCGCAGGTCTCCATCCTGTCTCGACTCAGTCAGGAAAATGCGGACGAGTTCAATTTTGTGCGCGCTTTCGAGTGCTTCCAGCACAAGTCTCACACCTGCTTGGTATTCGAAATGTTGGAGCAAAACCTCTACGACTTTCTAAAGCAGAACAAATTTTCACCTCTACCTCTCAAGTACATCAGGCCGATACTCCAGCAAGTACTCACCGCGTTATTAAAATTGAAGGTATGTCTTGCGGGCGGGGCGTCTCGCACTTCTATCGCTCTCTCGAATGACGACAATGTGACAGTCGACATGTTGACTGCCGCGTCGATTTCCATCGATCGTGCCAGAACTTAACTAACAATCGTGTTGCTAAAGATATGGTTTAAATTGCCAAAGTAAGATCGCGTTAAGATTGGTTGTGTAACTCATTTTGTTTAGATGCACTTAATTATACCGAATTGAATCTGTCGCGCATGGCGCTCGTTTTTCGTGCTGGATCTAGTGAGATTTAGTAACGTACAAGTGCACCAATTAGAACGCAGCATTTTACGTAACTTACAACACGTTCGCTACCACGGCTCGCTTGGGAAACTTTCCCTACTTATCACCTCCTGTTTCCTAATATAATGGTATAAAGTTTGTCTAAGGAGGTTCGCTCACTAAGTGCCGTATTTCCAGTGGCGCATCGAGGGGTCTATTAAAAAATTTACCGTTTATCGAGCAAAATTACGTTTCTCTACACTTATTTCATCACATTCACGTACAGCTTTCTAATCAAATATTTCGAAGATGATAAAGATTATTGAAATTCCTGTTTACGCATTGTTAGTTCGATTAATTTGTGTACAATGTATATATCATAGGTTTATATTATATTTGGTCAGATGCTCGAACATTCTTCTTGCATAGAGAAAGGGAGAAAAATGGTCGCCATCAGACGACGTGACGTTGGTAGCGAACGTATTAAGTAGAATTTAACGCGGAAGTATCGCAGGGTCGATCGATCGAAGAAACCATCACGCACGGCGCGCTTGGCGTGCTCGTGCGTTATCGTGCGATCATTTTTAACCGACTTCGCTCCGCAGCAATTAGGATTGATACACGCCGATTTGAAACCGGAGAACATCATGCTTGTGGATCCGATGCGCCAGCCGTATCGTGTGAAAGTCATCGACTTCGGATCAGCCTCGCACGTGTCCAAAGCCGTCTGTAATACTTACCTGCAATCACGATATTATCGTGCGCCCGAGATAATACTCGGGCTGCCGTATTGCGAAGCGATCGACATGTGGTCACTGGGGTGCGTGGTGGCGGAATTGTTTCTCGGATGGCCTCTGTATCCGGGCAGCTCCGAATACGATCAGATTCGATATATAAGTCAAACGCAGGGCCTACCGACGGAGCACATGCTGAACAACGCCAGCAAAACAACCAAATTCTTTTACCGAGACATGGACAGTACGTATATACACCCGATCAATGCAGTATGCATGTAGTAGACGATCGTATCAGCACTTACGATTCTCTTTTTCTTTCTCTCTTTCTCTTCTGAGCCACCGACCTAATCATCTGTCTTTTAGGTACATATCCGTTTTGGCGATTAAAGACACCGGAGGAACACGAAGCGGAGACTGGTATCAAATCTAAGGAAGCGAGGAAATATATTTTTAATTGCCTTGACGATATCGGCCAAGTTAACGTACCGACTGATTTAGACGGCGGCCAGCTTTTACCGGAGAAGGCGGACAGGCGAGAATTTATTGACCTCTTGAAGAGGATGCTCACAATGGACCAGGTAGTAATATCTAATTCATGCTCCCGGTGTAAGGTGGTGTGTGTTTTGAAGCAAAACGGCTTCGAGAAAACAAATTGGTCAAAAGTAAGTTCTCTCATTGGACCATTGGCTGCGCACCGAACTTAGCCGCGTCCGAACCGTTTTGCTTCCCGTTGTACTACGAATATTAACACGTTCGCTATTAACGTCACGCACAATGTGTGACATATATTATCGACATAAAATATTACTTGCCTGTTTAATACATTTTACGTGTGCGCAAACGTGCGCCGGATTAAGCGCACGAGAGCGTACATATGTATTTATATTTGTACACATTGTGAGTGCGTAAATTGATGAAAAAAATGTTTTATCACATCTGTTATGTTTGCATAATATATAGGAGCGCCGTATAACACCCGGCGAGGCGCTGAACCATGCGTTTGTTACTTTGGCACACCTAGTCGATTACGCGCACTGTAACAACGTCAAAGCTTCCGTCCAGATGATGGAGGTTTGCAGGCGCGCGGGAGACTTCACCGCGAGCCCGGCGCATCATCAGGCTCCGCCAGCGCCCCAGCCACCTCCACCAACGTCTTTGGTAGCCAATTTTGTACCGACTACGAATGGCAGCGCGGTGACTCTCACCTTCAACAATCAATTGACCAATCAGGTGCAGCGATTAGTTAGGGAGCACCGTACTGCGCAGACGGGATACGACAATCTGGTAAGTCGGCGAGATTCTCTCAGCACGCTTTATTGTTCATCGAGAGACGATGAACGCGTCTCGCGTTAACTATGCTTTTCAGCGGTTTAGCATTATCGCAACATGTTTCCTTTGCAGGAGGATATTTATTTTTTTTAACAATTACGTTTTGTTCGTGGTTCTCGGAAACTACCCGTACAATATTTTAACGGCATATTGTGGAACTTAATTGGAATGAAAAATCTTGATGCACAAATGAGGCATCAATATTTCCCGACTCCTAAGCCATTAAAGATAATCTTATCGCGAATGAAACTTCAGGGAGTCAAATGAATAACAAAATTGGATCCCTCGATTATTTTCAGATGGAGTATACTTAAATAGAATTTTAATTGAAAGTTCAGTTAGAAAGATATATAATGTTAGAAAATTAGAAAATTGTGATGTGACATTCCTTGGTTTCCCTTAATTTTTTTTTTATTTCGGTTCCAATTAAGCTCTAGAATACGTTATTAAAAAATATCATATGATAGTTTTAGGGTACACTTTATACCACTTTTTGTCAGTATTTGAAACGTGGAAAGAGCGAGAAAGGAACATAATGCGTTTGCGTCGTTTATATCTTGAATTTACGTTTCCAGTATCAAATATACAGTAACAGCAGTCGACGGGCGACACAGTATAGCGGTTCATCCAGCGGATCCAACAGCGGACGAAGCGGCGTGCACGACTTTCCGCATCAACTGGTGCCGGGCATTCTGTGTCCGCCGCCTGGCTATCAAACGATGCCAAGTCCTGCTAAGCATGTAGTTGTCGCTCAAGTAAGAATTCGACACGGTTCTTCGCACGACTACGTGACGGTTGTTACTCGTCAGTTACCGATGACAATTTCACTTTGCAGCCACCACAGGCTCAGCAGGCTCCTTTGCAGATTCAGCCGTCGATCATATCGCAGCAAGCCGTAGCCGCGGCGGCCGCGGCTGCTCAGCAACAGTACGCTGCGGTTCCCGTGTCTATGGTTGAGACTGGTCGGCAGATGCTGCTCACCGTACGCAGATAATACTTCGCATAGTTCTCGACAGCGCAATTTTTCCCCTAAGGCGGAAACGTGAAAGTCAAACATTTCCAAATGCTTTCAAATTGGACAATTTTCACGCGTCCCTGGAGGCCCGATCGTGACTCTTTTCCTCTAACTCGTGAACTCGTGGAAAGTAAAAATTTTATTTTATGTCCACTTCTCAGCTTTCCGCTCTAGGAGGAAATTATGTGGTCGCTGCCCCCCCGAATAGTTAACCCTTTGATCGCACACTTCCGAAGAGTCGCTTGCATGCAAGGTCGTATCTAAACTCTATATCTAAAAAATTGGAATAGAAGAGAGATTGACAAGGTTCTAGAATAAAGTATAATTGTTCTACTTTAAATGCGGTTGATCGTGCATCTTCGTTTTTCGACAGCGGGGGAAAACTCTTAGGTCACGTAATTCGTTCAATATCTTTTCAAATAGAACTCACCATGACCCGTAAAACGGCCTAAGGGTTAATAATGACAATAATTTGACGTGTGTTGATGTTTGCTTACGATGTCCAACAGAACGCCGTGCAAACATCTTGGCCCGGTGGAAGTCGTCAGATGGCAGCGATCGTACCGTCGTGGCAGCAATTACCGCCGCAGCACGCAGCCATTCAACAGCCGCTACTCAGCGACGCTGGAGACTGGGGCAGACCACTTATCGTCGACAGTTCTGCCATATTACAGGTAAGATAAATTGTCGACGAATTGTCAGTATTTATATGGTATTTCTGTGTCATTATTATTGTTAGAAGGAAACCGGCCTTCTTTCCATTTTCCGGATTTTTTTCAGTTTTTTTAATTCCGAAGGTAAAAAAAATTCGTTTAAAGATATTCACGCGTGTTCGATGAAAAACTGTCACATTTGCATCTTTCGGTAAAGAAGATAATTGCGTGCATTTAACTGAAGTTAAATGAAGTTGATACGTTATATATCAAGTAATAATGTAAACAATAATATGGCTTAACTGTATAACAAATTAATTTTATTTTTCTATCTTTGGAAAGAAAAAAAAACGAAAAATCCACGGAAAAATGGGAAAGAAACCCGGGTTTTTTCCGAATCTTCAAAGCTATAATTTTATCATTTATGTTATTACGCATACATGTTGTTCCACTTTTTCTTTCTCTTCTTCTTCTTTTTTCCTCATGTTTCACACATGGAATATGTATATTCGTCTATATGAAATCTGTAAGCCGACTTCTTAACGCCCAGTTTGTAACTAATCTCCCTTGTTTTGGGGAAGGATCAGCGGCCCGTGTTTCCCGTCACAGAAGTATACAATGCTAGTGCGCTCGTCGAGCATCCCTCGCAAAGCTGGGGCAAGCGTACTGTCACCAAACATCATCAGCATCATGTTACAGTACCTTCCGTACAGCAACCCCCGCACAGGCATGATCATAAGAAGGACACACAACAATTGAGTCCTGTGAAGAAGCGGGTTAAAGAGAGCACACCGCCGAGTAGTATGAGAAGGCATTCGCCGACGTCGAGTAGTCATTGGCAGGAGCAGCCGGTACAGTCGCATCATCACAGCAGCAAACACAGCAGCAGTCACAACGTGGAACACCAACAGGTCACTACTGTTCGGCAGCAGACCATCACGATCCACGACACACCTTCGCCGGCCGTTTCCGTCATCACGATTAGCGACAGTGAGGACGAGACTCCAGGAAAATGGTGAGCACACATTACTAGTTTCAATGATTCGCACACGAAGAAGTAACATGAACCGTGGATGCGTCCCGAAATTCACCCTGTCAGTATTGGCGGTGTTGCGAAAGCCGTTCCAAGATTCATTGCAGCGCGCTGCGATAGCACTGTGAAGGAACGATGACGTCATGAATGCTGTCGTAACTTCCTGCTATAGTTGGTTGCGGCTGGAAAGATGCAGCGCAAAATGGAGAGACGATATGACGGTACTCGCGATCTGATTGATCGGAAGATTGTATGGCGAAAAGTTGTCTACACACAAAAAAAAAGAGATAAAAATGTGAAAAAGTAGAAAAAAGACTCAAAGTAAACTTTAGGTTCTATGTATCATATAACTTCTTTGCTTCCCAAAATGCACGCAATATTTGTAATAACTATAGCTTCCTTGATATTTTTTAATCATACATTATATTGGTGTTTTAAAAGGATTTTTAAAAGGAATTACGCACGATACTGTAATGTCAGCTACCGCGCTCAAATCTGTACATCGACAGTGCACTTGTGAAAACAGAACGCTTGCATCACCGCACTGTGACGATGTCACGCTTGCAGTATCGACAGTGAATTTCGGGACGTGTGTTTACACCGTGTAGACTGAAGCTCGATTTAGCTCTTTTTATTCACGGGATTAACGACGTCGTTACGTAGCTGGAACTTGGAAGTGTCTGACGGACCCTATCCAAAGACGTCTGTTTTATATATCGATCGAATCTAACTTACCCAAGGTTTCGTCCGAATTATTGTCCCAAAGAGAGGACTCTTGTCCTCCTCGAAGTATCCGGTTAAGCACGCGTGTATTTCTAAAGGTACTCTCAGTAGAATCATGCGTGAATATCGTTGACAGCTGCGGAGACCGTCAGTGCAGCGCCTGTCAAAGTTTGGCAACTCGCTTGTCGGGCGACGGGCGCCCTGTCCGTGAAGAAGTCATACGAAGGTACATTTATGTAATATGCCCCCAAAGGGGCGGTGTTTCGTGATTAACGATGATTAAGAAGCGAGCCTTGTGGAGAACACGCAATTATGTGGGGATATTAACCAGTTGGACGTCACGAAGGAGGATCGGAGGAGGATTGAACTCCGAATCGATTCCCGCTGTCGAGTCGTTCGGAAATCAATTTTCCTCCATTGCGTATGATGCTTTGCCCGAGGGATTAATTCGATCCTCTCTCCTTTACGGATTTCCCGAGTGCTCGTAAAGGCGAGAATCACATATTCGATCGCCACTCTCTTTCTCTCTCTCTCTCTCTCTCTCTCTCTCTCTCTCTCGAGGATATGCGTGATCGACTTTACACAGGATCTTTTCGGGTCTCGCATTTCGCCGTACAGAGCGAGCAGACTTCATTAATGCCGTGCCGTTCTCTGGACGTATAGCGACATCAAATTCAATCGATTTCCAGTCAGGAGTATTATTTGCGCATCATGACTGTTGATTATTTGATGAACCGATCAACGATTCCTCCGAAATAACAGTTACGATGCACGAATATTCGAAAATAACCGCGCCTAATTGGGAATGTTCAAGGCTACTATGTCTAGGAAATAACAAAGCGTGTTAAAATGAAGTCTGGCTGTATGTACACTAAACGTCATATTAGCCTTAGCATTTACTAGGCCTGGTGACAATGAAATTTTTTGATCACACGCAATGAGTCAACTTATTCATGCATCACGACTCCTTGATTATTCTGTGAATCAGCAAGGATGCTTCAGAGCCAGCAGTCGTGATGCACGAATATATCGATTCATTACGTGTGATCGAAAAATTCCATCGTCACTGGGCCTGGTAAAAGGCCGTTATGGGGTTTCGGTTTCCGTATTCTGGACTCTCTTTTGTCGATAAAAGTGCGTCTAAAAATGGCTCAGGAATCACTTGATTTGCTGAGAAGCCATATTTAAGGCTCTTTTATCGATAAGAGAGGGTTCAGAATACGGTCTTCATGTATGTATAATAAAATATCTGGGTACATTTGGTTACACCCACACACACACACACACAACACGGGATGGACACGCGCGGGGATCTGGTTGTGAAGCTTGGCATGAAGCGGCTATCGACTAATGCAAAGTCTCATCTTTCCCGATCAATAACATCGTTGTAATGTGTACACATGCACACGTACACACACACATTTGCAGCATGTGACATATTTGATCCGCGGACGCGGCGCTAACCCGATCACGATTGAGTCGCGCGGCGAGGACGTCTCTCGATGCGACTTGGACGTGCCGGCGAGAAGAGGGAGAGTAATGAGATCCGTTTGAATTGCAGCACGCAGTCAACGCCGCGCGTCGTGCAGACGACGATGCAGCCGACGCACACGAGCAGTCAGCAGCATACGAACGGGCACGTCGCGACGCACAGCAGCTCGTCGCACCGGGCGCAGCGCAAGAACGTCATCAGTTGCGTGACCGTCGGCGACAGCGACGGCGAAGCCAGCCCGAGCCGCACGCACGCCCATCTCTATCAACATCTGCCGCAGCATTCGCAGCATCAGCAGACCACGCAGTTGATCAAGCACGAGCCGCAGCAGCAACATCATGTTAGCAGGTGGATAGTTGAGGGATACGATCATGATATCGAGGAGATCCTCTACTCGACTCTGGGTCCAAGTTTCTGAAGGAAATTCGGATCGTTGTGTTAGAAAACGGAGAATTTGTATATATTTTGTATTGATATATAGCCATCTTGAGCCATTTTGAGCCAACCTAGTCAAAAGAATAATTGTTAGATGTATGCCTAAGGTATTCCAATTTTAGTGATTTTATCCTTTTTCAATGAAATAATTACCATTATTTCGTGTTGAGTGTGTACTATCAGAGTACAAATCGTAATATATCTATCTCTAAGTCATTTGTGCCAAATTTACCGCCAGTATTACGTTGATAGTCAATACTTAGAAAGAAACTTTTCGTTCGCGATGTACGTATTGCGAACGTGTTAACCCTTTGAGTATTGTGAACTTGTATGTGCGTTTTAGTTAAAACGTATGTGCCTCGGAGTAAGGAGTTTACTACGAGCCGCTGGTGATTTCGAAGGCTTTCTCACTTGTACGTTTAATCTGTTGGGTTATCGGCAACAATTTTTCGGCTGTACACGGTAGATAAAGTTCAGCCGAAAAGCGTACGATGTGCGCAAAAGCACGATAATCAGTTATTGATTTAAATCGATATTCCTCAAAAGTACATGCAAGACCTTTTTAACCTTGACATTTTGCGGTCGATGGTAAAATATTGATGCACATATTTTGATGGTGCAGCCCGCCGGCGAAATGTTGAACGTATGGTGTGAGAACATACGGTGTGTTAATATTAACGATATATACGCATAAATCTGCGATCGAAGTTAGATACACGAACGAAAGTGAAATGCACTTAGTAATGTTAAAAGTTAAAGTGCAAACATCAAAAAAGTGCCACAATCAAGCGATTGTAAAAGCTGCGTTCTGTTTGGACGTTTTTCAAGTGCCATAAGTGTTGTTGTTCTACCTTCCTTTGACACGTATTGAACAATAAAAGTAGGTTGACGCGTAAGCGTTCAAACTGTGAATGCAGCTTAAGTGGCGAATATAATTATGGACGATATAATTGCGATACATGAAAGTGTAGAAATATTAATCGATAGGATCATGTTTGATGGGGATTTTTCATTGGACGATTATACTGCATTTTCAGAGAGTACGCAAGATGTTTTACAGTCAATTATAACAATACTCAGAGCGTAGTTTATAGTGTACCTCATCATATGAAAATACCAAAAAGCGATATTGTTTGAAGGATCAATATGCAATGTTTGACTTTTCTCAGTTAGAAAAAAGAACTGCTATTTTAGACGATCAGAAACAAAAATAAATACAAAATTGAAGTTTATGATGTTCCTTGGTAAGAGAAAAGTACGAACTTTGCAGTCAAAAAGATTAGTTTATAATTTTAAGTTTTTATATTAAGTTCTTTGTATACGTTGTATACGTTCTTTATATACGTGCATGGAAAAAAAATGCGGTGGAGCATAAATTATAGCTTTAATTTGCTCTAGTCAGACAGACTGTGCACAGTAAAAAATATTTTGTACTTGTGTTAAAATCGGTCCCTGCTATAATTTTTGTATTCAGTTCTTAGAATATCTGTGTGTTAATTTAACATATTGTGTTATTTGAATATTTCGCATTGAGTATCGATATTCAACACGTGTAAGTGTTAAAATTACACTCTTGTGAATGTTAAAATAATACATTTTATGCTTCAGTGGCAATTGACGTATTACATGGATGTTTCAATTTTATATTAATTTTTGACGTAATATTTGTATTACCTTTCAACATACTCGTGTTAAATTAACACAAAAACTTGTTCGGATTGTTTGAGACATGTAAAATATGCTAAATTTAACACAACATTTTTTACTGTGTATGTTGTGAACATGATTTTGTTATATATTTGCGATATATACACATATAATCTGTCTAACCATTGACAGATATGTGAAGGTGGCTATAGATTAATGCGTACATTAAGTAAAGACTGAGAAAACGCCCTCAGCACGGGCGATACTTCGTGGACGTTATTATCCTCCCCCAAGAAGTGATCTGCAATTTTCACTCTGCGTTCTTCAACCATATTCAGAACGTGTTTGTTACGGAGACTAACGAGCGACTTTTGTTTATACTGTACGTCAATTTCGGTTAAGGCACATTGGAATATGCGCCTTGCCGACTGATATATTGATTCGTCATCTTTGGAAAAATTAGTTTCGTGATCTATCTTATGAGTTTTCCTCCGCTTGTAACTATTGATAAGGCCCGCCAATTTATGTGCCCAATGCCTTTTATATAAGATATAAAGCTGCTTTACTTTCTTTACACGTACGTAACTTTTATTGATATTAAGCAATGATTTGGTTAGTCATTTTTAATGCAATGAGCTAATATCGACCCTTCCCCGTCTCATGTTTAATTTAATCGTACGTAAAAAGTCAGCGTTTATTGATTTAAGACGCATTAGCGTATTTTACACGGTAAAAAGCATTTTGTGCTTGTGTTAAAATCGGTCCTTGTTAAAATTCTTGCGTTAAATTTTTAACGTATTGGTGTGTTAATATAGTGCGTATATGTTATCTCAGTATTTTATATTGAGTTGATATTCATTCATGTGTAAGCATTAGAATACCACATTTTACACTTCAGTGTCGATTAACATATGATGGGCATTTAATTTTGTGTTCATTTCTGACATAATATTCATGTTACCTTTCAATATATTCACCTGGTGTTAAATTAATGCAAAAAATTGGAGCCGTTTAGAACACGTGAAATGTATTAAATTTAGCACAAAATTTTTTACCGTGTAGACACTACACGAGTTAAAATTAAAATAGGATATACGTAGATAGTATCGTAACTAAAATGGGATAAGGAATGGTCATCGATCGTAATCTCTGTTTGACATTTATCTAACGTTGTATTATCCCGAGAAAAGATTCAGATAAATCTTCCTTCATACGAAGGATCCAAGCGAGAGCCACGATATACCAGTGAAACATGTGCTCAACACATTACTCACGACTCGGCTTCTTGAAATAGTTGCAAAATTTCATCTGACTCTCTGTGGATTTTACCTGTGGACGTCTTGAGATTTTACCGGAATCTTTTCCCATACATTATCATTTATAATCCTACGCGGTTAATAACGACGTAAACATTGCAGGAGAAAGTCTCTATTTTGCCGGCGAAGTTTTCAAGTTGTGGTACTCCTTAGGCTTAGAACACCGATTTCAGTTCCATCTGATATCGCACGAAATGTTCGACGATCTCACTGAGCTCTGGTCGCACAGAGCACGTTTCTTCGTTGTACTGCTCGACACTCAAAGGGTTAAAATAATCGCTGTCAGTCTATTATTTATACATACAAACAGGATAGTCGTATACTATTTTGCAAGTTTCTCAATAGTTAAGGCTCGATTAAGCGATATGAGCGAGTGAGAGCGCACAGGAAGCGATAAGATGGCCATGGAGCACAGTAAGACGTAAGAATTAGGAAAATTTACCAATCACGATTGATTCTTCGAGCTAGAATTTTCTAGAGTTCCTCCCTCGAGTTAGAATTTTCTAGAAATAGTCAGTAACTGCTGATTTTGAAAGGCGGAGTAAGAAGAATTGCACATGATGCGCAGCGTTACGGCCTTCAGTAGCCACTCACTGCGGACAGACAGACGGACAGAGAAGCGGAGTAATGCAGCGAGAGCAAATGGCATGCGACACGGGGCCGCGTCTCTCGCTGACAACTGAACCCCGTTAGTACTGACAGATCCTAAGAAGTGATGTGGTTTTTTGTACAAACTGGAGAAACCATTTTTCTTCACATATGCTCACAAGAACCCTCTGCCCCCGTGCGCTTGCTCGCTCATATCGTTCGATCAAATCGTTCGCACAATATCGTTCACATCGTCGAACTAATCCGTTCTGTCTTCGCAGTAGCAGCAGCAGTTCAGGGTATTCTTCGCAGTCGCAGAAGAAGCGGCTGTTGGCGAAGGTACAGTCCGAGTGCAATATGGTGAACGTCGCGACGAAGCCGGAGCCCGGTGTCGAGTATCTTGCTCCGCATCCGTGTCACGCGCCAGCCTGCAAAGAGCCACCGACCTATCAGGTAAGTCGCCCATCGGACCATCCGTCAGTCGCGTCTACCGTTAGCACAACCGGTGTGATTCCCGCCGTAAAGTATGAAGAATCACCCCTCAAAAGGACATCTTCGTAAAGTCAATAATTTGGTCAACAAAAAAAGAGAAAGAATCCAAACATTTCGAGCCGCTCGAGTCGACCCCTTAAATCGCGATTCTCCGGCGGAAATCGTTCCCTTCCTTGTCGCGTTCACTCGGCATCTTGCAGGATGCCAGAAAGGGCCACCACCCTCCCCCGATCACACGTGGCGGTTTCTTCTTCCTCGACCTCGTCCCTCCCTTCCTCCGATTAATCTTTAGGTAATGTTTTTCTAGGATGACGCCTATGACATGCATGACTACTTCTTGCAGTATGTGACCACGAGTAGCGCGCATCCCCACCTTCAAGAACAGCATATCGTGTACACGACCGGCACGGACAAGCGAGTGTCTTGGCCCGGCAAGCGGGCGGAGTACAAGCACGAGTACGTTCAACCACCGGCCGCTCACTCGAGAGACCACCAAAAGTGGGTCGTGGCCAACCCGGTGCACCAGTACAGGTGAGTGTCCGCGGCATGACGATCACCTACTCCGTGCGTCGTTCTTTCACCGAGGCATGCGGTCACGGGACGAGCGATTGGAACGATTTTTATGCGACGGTGTGCATGCTCCCGTCGGAACGATCGAACACGCATGCGAGATCTATCTCCTTTTTTTCTCTCTCGTCCTCCGTTGTCGACGAGGGGGGACGATCGAGGCGATACGAGCAGCCTGACTCCTCACGCACCTCTAGGCAAGTAAGCGGCATGCGAGGGATTTCTCCGCACTTCTTCCGCTATGAATGCCAGACTCTCGCCTGACTTTGAGCTTCAGTTTACTCTCCCCTCTCCCGCTCGTCTTCGAAGTTCGGGCGGAGAAGCGGAGGAGAGGAGCGAACCCTTCGAGAGATAGAGAGAAAACGCGCGTCCGTTAGAGCTCTTCCGTTCCCCCTTAAAGAGTCGTGTTGCAGTAAGTAAAGGAGGCATGTGAATTGCATAACGACCGGGTGGATTTTGTTTTGGCTTTTGTAGGCAGAGCCAGGTAGTGGGTTCGGCAGCCCATCCGAGCCATACCCACAGCCACCACGGACATCCGGCTCACCTGAGTCCCGGTGGCGGTGGCGGGGGCAGGAGTCCTGCCAGCGGGGCTGTGATAGGGAGCGCCCAGCACCTGGGCCAACCTCTCTACCAGGAGTACGCGCATGTACGCTCGAGGGCCCACGCGGTGCCACCGCCTGTGTACGTTACCGCTGCGCCCTCGCAGGCCGCCACCGCTATCCAGCAGCAGCAAGTGCCCACCTATCAGGGATTTACACCCGGGTGGGTACCTAGACATCTAAATGACACATGCATGTGTGTACCATTTATTATATCTATGTTCTTCTAGCGTTAACTATATATTATGTAGTGTGTATATATACGTATATGTCGTCTGCGTGCCGAATTTTTCGGAAGTAGAGAGTTGAGAGATAGCGCGAGAGCTTCTCCTTTATGAACGCATCGCAGCATGTAACCGTTTAAGCCGGAAGAGGATATCCGCAGGAGATCGGTGTCAAGCGATTTGCACGCGTGCTCTCCGATGCACGTTTAGATTCGTTGCAGATTTGTTCTCGGCGTTACTGAGGAAATTCGTGAGACACGTGTGTGTACACACCGATGGACGATAATTCGTCCTTTCCATTACATGTAGTGCAGCAAGTCCAAAAGACGCTTATTCTGTGCTGTCTGAGATATCACCGCATAACACCCCTGTCAGAGTTAGTATCGGAGATTCAGGATCGCGAGTTGGAAATCAGAATTCGATGAAATTGGTTAATTTGTATCCTTTTATATTTTTATGTTACAAATATATATATAAATTATGTGAAAATTACTAAAATTTGGCAGTCATGATGCTGACACATGTTCGACTTTGCTCTGCAGCTACGTCGAATTGTGTCGTTGTTGGAAAACACTTACAGCTATGTTACACTATGTCAATGTGTGTCTTTTGTTTCTTCGATCTTTACGTGAATATTCCTCTAGTTAGAAGAGATTAAAGTAGGATGGACATCTTGTGGACTTGCCTCTTACTAAATCTAGGGGATGAATCGTTGTCTATAGGTGTATATGCGTCCTAATGATGATAATCATCAGACTCGTGTACGTGTTCGTAGTGTTCAAAGGATTAAGAATAGAATAGGGATGTCAACGTGACATCTCTCGTAAACAGGACGTAGCGTTGTCTACGAGGAACGCTTCTTTCGCAGCGACACCCCATTGGCGAGCTGTTTTGAATTCGCATCGAGTGTCTCGTCGAATGTCGATCGTTTCCCGTGCATCCTGAGCTTATCCTCGAAAATATATACATCGTTCGAACAATTCTATATTATAAACAAAATGTATGATTTCCTTGTTTTTAGAGCTTTATGGAGACTTTCTAACGTGCGTTATCCCGTTTTTTACAGCTCGTCTCCATTAACGTTGTATGATTCTAGTCGAGCGTTGCCACCGCCAGCTCATCACAGCTCGGCCAGACCGTTACTGGCGAGCCACGCAGCACATCCGTTGCCTGCGCATATGCAGCCTACAGCCGTTTACGGATTGACCCCGCTTTCGCCAGCCAAGCATCAATACCAACCTTCCGGTTTGTGGTTCACCGAGTAAATTATTTCCGTCGAGAAAGAGAGAGAGAGAGAGAGAGAGAGTGAGAGTGAGAGTAAGTCGTGGAATATACGAATCGTAAACGAGCGAGTGAAAGCGAAGTAATAACGAATAATCGCACGATTTTCCTGGGAACTTACGAGCCGCTCGTGCCAATCGACAGCATGCAAACGCATATTGAACGATCCGATTTAACGGAGATTTACCGCAAAAAAACTGAGGAGGGAGAGGGGGAAGAACACGTTCTGTCGTACACACTTTTCCTCGTCTTGCCGTCTTACTCGACCCGTAAGAGCGAGAAATCGATCGCGCACGTGTGTATCGACCGGGGATCGGTGGTACTGCGTCGCAATGCGCGCTGACACTCACGAGAATTAACGACTGAGCGGGAAGTTACGTGCGAGTTTGCCAAATCAAATCGCGAGAGCAAGGGCGCGTTTAAAGATAAAAAAAACACTTTGACAATCCGTCCTAAGCATTCCCTTCCGATCGCCCTCGCGGAGAGCAAAGCGCGACGAGACCACAGTCGGTGTTGTAACTAAAATCTCTTTGTATATGTTTGTTACGCTTCTTACATGTCCGACACGATATCCCATCGTCTCATTGCGACAATCTCACATGAGGAAATCAAACAAAAGAGAGAAAGAGAAAGAAAGAGGAGAGAGAGAGAGAGAGAGAGAGAGAGAGAGAGAGAGAGAGAGAGAGAGAGAGAGAGGAGAGAGAGAGAGAGAGAGAGAGAGAGAGAGAGAGAGAGAGAGAGAGAGAGAGAAATCCCCACCCTGGCGCGCGCAATGATTGCACAAAAGCGATCACTCGTGAAGTCCTCGTCCCTTTCGACTCGTTTCCTTTGACTCTCCTTTCTTTTTCTTTCGATCGAAAGGGGCGCAATCTGTACGGCAGGTATGCGGCAAGTTGTACATTTCGTAAGTTTCCAGAGATAATGAGCGATAGAGACGGAGAGACGCAAATTTCCGACGTTTTATTATGGGAACGAAGGGGGAGTTTCTAAGGACGTGTACAGACCAAAATTTTCTATCCGAGTTGCCCGGTCCGTTGAATTTGCGCCTACACGCCACGGTTCCTCCCTATTGTACATATATATATATATATACGGGGCTAGAGGCGAGCGGCTTGAATGGATCGGGTGTGCATTGATATATATATAAGACGATAGAGAGAAAGAGAGAGAGAGATGTGTTGCACATAGCGGCATTGCCGCATTCGCGTGTGTGTGAAAAACCGCTAACGAACGCTACTTCGTTGTGTACACGAATAAGTTTTGCATTTCTTCGTGGTATGTCGCGGGACATATATCGCGAACATATCTGTATCTTGTTTTTAATGCTCCTTAACAGAAGAATCATTTTAGCGCGTACGTAGATATCTTGGAATCGTTGTAGTTAGTTGGGCAATTCGTGCCGTTGGTGGAATTTTTGTCGATTGTATTAAGGGTGTTTTGCTACCAGTTATAACGCTTTAGTCATTTACGGTATTTTATTTATATAACGGGCACTCGCGCAAGACTAACTAACGGGAGGGTGGCCCCCACGTTGTTCTAAATAGTTTGCAGAGAGAGTTAACTCGAATGTATATTTTAACACGGCCAAACACACATACACACACAGATCCATACACGTATATACACTCGACACACACATATAACTATACCACGTATTTGGAACTCGAGCGAGTTCTTCGAGTAGAATTATTCAAGTTGTCGTAAACGTAGTCACATGTGAGGAGCACTTGTGTTGTTGTTGGGAAATAACACACGAGGGATTTGTAATCGAGTTACGAGCATCTTTAATATAATCACACGACATCCGAATTGACGAAAGCTTTGATGTGCCTTTTTTGGAACAGTCTCACTATTTATTATCTTTTCATTGTATATGTAATTATTCTTTTCGATTCGTCCTCATCCACATCACCGCGTGATCATCATTCTCATCATCATCTCATCCGTTCTTCGCCCCCATCACATCTCCGTCTCCCATTGTCATTATCGTTGCTACCGATCGTCGTCATTCGCATCCGCACTTGATTCCCTTCTGAATTGTACAGATACCCCAGCGTGTTGCGGGCAACCTGCCTTAAGTTTGTTGTCCGAAGCACGAAGTTGTGACAACAATCCCGGAGGATTCGTGAATTGTATATAGATTTAACGGCCTTTCATTAATATTTACTTTCTCATGCACTAATATTTCGCATTTTACGGCAGAAGTGATATTAAAGGAAAGGGAATGAATGAAAGAGAGAGAGAGAGAGAGAAGGAGAGAGAGAGAGAGAGAGAGAGAGAGAGAGAGAGAGAGAGAGGAAAATGTACGCGTCGAGAGTACATTGCACAAATCAGTAAGGTATGAAAGGATGAGGTATAACGCGTCTAGAGGAAACTTTCCTCGGGATGCGCGCGCGCAGTCGAGTGGTCTTTTTCGAACGACGAAAGGCTTATAGAATGGATATATGCCAAACAGCAATAAAATATTGTAATGGATCTTACTCTAGAGAATATTTCTCACACGTTGATATACCACATATTGCGCATATTTCTTTCCGCGTGCGGGATGCAGACTTCTTTCTTACATACACACGATAAGAATGTCTCAGACAGAGAGAGAGAGAGAGAGAGAGAGAGAGAGAGAGTCCTAGTTGTAGATATAGACTTTGGAAAGGGAGTTCTCACAATTCCGTTCTTCTCGTTCAGATCATGTTCTTCCTCGTCGCATTTTCTACGTTAGCGTATGCAAAAGCCTGAAGTTCAGCATATTACATCGATACGGTTTTTATTCTACTTTCTGGATACACCGTTCTCAAAATAATCTCGGTATCGTACACTATATTACGGGACGCGCGCGGTTCTTCGGATCACACGGATGGCGTCATATACGCAACTGCTGACACCGTGTATTTCGTGATGCTATATCGAATAATATTTAGACGTTGTTTTGCTAACTCTATTAATAATTATATAGAAAAAATTGTAACGGTAAGATATCCGGCGTATATGGAGGATTACTTGCAGTATGTTGTTTAGAGTGATTCACGTCCAGAGTTGAGTTAGAGATATTTTACACGTAGAGTGAAAAAGTGAAATAAAGAGAGAGAGAGAGAGAGAGAGAGAGAGAGAGAGTGAGTGAGTGAGAGATAGAGAATGTGTGTACTTGCGTGTGAATGAGCGAGTGAGTGAGTAAATGAGTGCGTGCATGAGAGACATGGAGAGCGAGAGAGATAGGAGAGGGAAAAAATCGCAGAGTATATACATAGATATATAAAGATATATATAGGGGTAGCGTAGACGTAACAGAGTTTTTAGATATGTTACCGGTATCACGAGGATAAAGAAACCCTTCACGCGATACAATAATAAAAAAGCGACAGATGATATGCACTGCAATTTAACTATATTTAACTTATAGAGCAGGGCCGTTACGGCTATCGGGTCCATGATAGCCTCGCAAATCTCTCGAGTGCCTTTATATCGAGAGGCATCAGATGAATCGATATAATCTAACCAGTATCGAACTTGTTTACGAACAATGTCGATTTGTGCATCTTGACTCCTTCGTTTTCATTCGCTCTTCTTCTTTTTATTATTATTATTATTATTATTACTATTATCATCACTATTATGTTTCTTTCTTCACTTACGCAAAGTACTCTCCTTGTCTTAGGATTAAGCGATTCGCCCGACATNGGGTGGGAGGGAGAGAGAGGAAGGTCCTTTTTTTTGTCGGTATAGACTGAATACGCTACGACGCTATCGTAATAGGCGTTATAATCACCGTGTAATTACCATGGTTGCGTGTCACATCGACTTTTCGGTTTCGACATACAAAAATTGGTCCACGCCCAATTGTATATGTACATACATGTATGCTTCCACGTACGGCAGTAGGGGACACCTCTCGCGTCGAGAATCAACGCTATATTATCGAATTAAACGCTTCTTCACGCGAATCGTGAGAGAGAGAGAGAGAAAGAGAGAGAGAGAGAGAGAGAGAGAAAGAAACGACAAAAAAAAACAAAAGAAGTCATATCCTTAGGTTTTATCTCGTATACGTATAATGCCATTAATAGAACACGCGTAGGACGCGCGTGTGTCACGCGCGTACGCACACGTGCGACGACTCATGCGCGCATGTGCGGATGTGCGTAAGCGCGTGATTATATAGGCTTTCATTTCCCCTTCCCCCCTCCCCCCCCTCCTTATCCTCGTCGATTTTACACTTTTGCGCGCCCACGCGAGTGCGTGTGCGCTTTTAGTATTATTCGATCGACGGACTTTAGTCACCCTCTTCGGTCATTTCTCCCATTCTCGACGAGCAGATCTTGACTGACGATGCGATTCGAATTTGGCGGACGCATCGTGTGTGGCACTCGAGTTGTCGTCCCACGAACGCTTGTTTCTTCCCTCTTGTCGGGATTGATCGATAGATGGATATGTGAATGTTATGAGTGTATGTGTGTGTGTATGTGTGTGTATGTGTGTGTTCGGAAGATACACGCACAGAAGTGACTCTTAGGGCAGCCGATGATCCGCTATTTTGTAGGCTACAACAAGGACCGCAATATTTCATCGGTCGGCTTCGACTTCGTATCCATAGGCCCCTTCCCCCCCCCCCCCC